TCTGTAGAGTTACGGTAAAATATAACATCTTATTTTAGCTCCCTTTGACCCATTTAAATGTTTTCTCAGTTAAAAAAAAGTGAAAGGGAAGTAAATGCGGCTCAAGCCTCCAGGAAATTCCTTCTGAACGCGGACCCGGGGAGTAAATAGTCCTGCTATCATATAGCGTGCCTTGCGAAGTGGACTGTGACAGATATGGTAGGTTAAAATTTAACACCATGTCACTTGATCTCCTTTTGGACCCATTTTAAAGTTGTTCTAATTTTTCACACTTTCTGCTTTCTTTTAGACTGAAGATCACTATTTTGTCGGTGTGATTCGATTTTCTGTTTCTCTGTTTGTGTGTGTTTGCTATATGACATCCAGGATGCGTGACTCTATAGAGACAGGAACTGGGCTAATGCCTCCTGCGAGAGGTACAGCAGGGGAGGCTAGAGAGAAACAGGGAGCTAAGAACAAGGCGTAGAAGAAAGAAGGGAGTGTTCTAAAATTGGTTGTGGTAATGATCACTCAGCTCTTCTTGACAGATTGAAGTACTGAATTGTATGAGACATGGGTTATGTCCCAATAAAACTGTTTGAAATAAATAAAACACGTACACGCACACAAATTGAATCTCTGGTAAAACTCATATTAGAAGAGTCTTGCTGTCCTGACTTGAATTCAGTATCTAGCTCATCCAATAATTTGTATATAAATTCAGGGTAAATGTTAAGTAAGAGATAGCCCTGAAGCACTTAGACAAATGTCTAGCACACAGTAAGTATTCAATAAATGTTAGTGCTTACTGATGCAGTTATTTTTATTGGGAAAGTGATATCAACACTTCAGGCCCACGTTTACTCAAGTATAATACAAAATGTTTACTTTTAGAATCATTTTGGATGGTTAAATTATTTACTTAGAAGCTAAATCTATGCCACATACTGTAGGCAATAGAGGGGTTGAGTAGTAAATGAAAAAAGATTTAGATCATGTTCTTGTGTATTTTACAATACAGTATAAGGTCCAGTTGTTCTTCATTTGTGTTTATATTTATTCCAGAATACTAAACCCATGAATTCTGAGGAAAAATGAATTAGATATTCTTCAATAACGTTTTGGGTTTTTTATTCCTGAATAGAAGGAAGTAATGGGAAGCTGCAGAATGATGAGACAGAAGGCTAATAATGAAATTAACTGAATTAAATTCATACTGATGATATTCATCACTGTATTAGCTGAAGCATAAACTACTTGCTGTAAATATGTCTGGGCTTTTGTGTTTTGTTTTTAAATTACTGCAGACCTAAAAACATTACTGATTTCCCTACTCACTTAGAAGAAAGCACATTAGCCTTTGGCATCAGCACATTATATCTCATTAACATCTTTTTATACCAAAAAATGTAAAAATTGGAAGATCTTTAAAAAGTCTTAAGGGCAAACAGGTGCAGTGGGGAAGTGTAGAGACAGAAAGCCAATCTGTAGACAATTGGACATCCCCTCACAGAAGGGTCACAAGGAAGAGATGAGCCAACCCAGGTGCAATATAATACCAATGAAACATACAACACTCCTCTAGTTATTTAAGGCTTCCTCGCCCCCCTCATCCCCACTATCATGACCCCAATTCTACCTTACAAATCTGGCTAGATCAGATCATGTACACTGATACAGATAAGAGCTCTCGATACCTGGAACCCAGGACAGATAAACCCTCAGGAACAATAATGGGGGTGGTGATACCATGAGGGTAGGGGAAGGTGGGGGAGATAAGGGGAACCAATCACAATGATCAACATTTAAGAACCAATAACAGAAACGTGTGTGAAGGGAGACAGCGGCCAATGTAATATATGAAAAGAATAATAATTTATAAATTATCAAGGGTTCATGAGGGAGGAAGGATGGAGGAGAGGGAAAAAAATAAGCTGAGACCAAGGGCTCAAGTAGAAAGGTAATGTTTTGAAAACACGGATGGCAACATATGTACAAATGTGCTTGACAAAATGGATGTATGGATTGTTATAAGAGCTGTAAGAACCCCCAATAAAATGATTTTTTTTTAAAAGTCTTAAGGTACTGACAAAGGAAAAAAAATGTAAAAAATCTCCCTCCTATAACTTTCCTTAAATTCTTCAGTCTAAAGATTTTTGTTCCTGATACACAAGGGAAAAGAAAGTAAAATCTTACGCAATGGGAAACGAAATAATTGCTTAACAGAACATGTATGTGGCTTGGAGTCAGACAAGAGAGGTCAGCTCTTTTGAACAATTTACTTAAGTTCTCTGTGCCTTGGGGTCCTCATTTGTGAAAACGTGACTGAGACGACTTACAGGATTGTTGTCAAGATTACATGAGTGAAGATATGTAAGGAATTGAACCTTGCTGATAGCTTCAAAAAATTAGTTTCCCTTAAGTGATATGTTCTAACATTGGATTTCATTTAATACTTGAATCTCAAAAGCTTTCCCAGGTCACACCTGAAGAACACTTACCTGGACCAAGGATAAAACCTAATGCTTGACATGCACTCGTGTTTGCCATTGCACTTGTTCTTTCCTGAAGGGAAGTAGCACCAGCGATATATGATCGAACAACAGCCACATTTCCTAAGAAAAGACACAACAATCCAAAGTAAAAGAAAATAGGTTTATGAAAATCTGTTTAATTTTGCCTTAGAGGATGGAAGAATAAATATAGGTGGATGATATAATCCATGTTTCCTCTTTATGAACACAAAAAGAACTTAAGATAATTTCCATAGTAAAAAACATCAAATAATGGAATATATTACTTTCAATATGAAAGCACAATTCAAGTGTAGATACGTGAAGACAGCACAGGGCTATCAAACTTCTTATTTTTATTACTTACTAGTGAGCAAGCACTGAAATGGCACATTACTGTTTGCTACAACTATGCATAAATAAAAGGTGTTATAAATTCTGTAGGCACCAATCAGTAATATAAGAGAAAAAACTCACAATTTAAATTAGAAAAATTATTGAGCAATTGGTATATTCAGGAGACGGTCAGAAGACAAAGACTATTTTTTAAAATCCAAATTGGCTCTAATTGCAAGAGTTTACCATTTAGTTAGTGGGAAAGGATAAAAACTGTAAGACAGTACAACAATGCATAAGCAAGAAACAAAAATATGCCAGCTAAATGAACAGTGCGGTCCATATGAGACAGAGGAACCCGAAAAACTTTATGAAAGTAGAATTAGAACTGAATCTTTTCTTTTTTTAAATGAATCTTGAGGATAAGGAATGATGGGGGAAAAAGGGAGACTACATGTGAAAATATGAGTAAAAGCAAAATAATAGGAAAGATATTTGTCTGACTGCATCGAACGCTCTGTAAGCTATAAGGTTGGAGAGGAGGAGGGAGACAAGATGATAGAGAACCTTAAAGGTCAAGATGAATGTGAGCTTAACACAATGAAACATATACATTCATATATATTACCTGCTCCAAATCCCACCAGTCCACGAGCAGCCAACATGTAGTATTTATTATGAGAAGCGGGGGCATGGACATATGCATACAGGCAGTTGGCTGCCACCGAAATCAAGATGGAGACAGTAAGAGGTTCTTTTCTTGGTCTATAATTAGACCATAAACCAAATATAGGTGAAGCCACCATTTGGCCAACACTAAATGAAGCAATAATCCAGCCCAGAAAACTTGCATCAGCTGTCGGATCAATCTGCAGAAAAAAGTATAATGCTTTAAGAATGGCTATTCAAAAAAAAAAAACCAGGTTTAAAACATAAACGCAAGTGTTTGACCATATAATATTTTGTATTAAAAAAAACAACAACATACAGGTTATGCACTTACAGTAATAGATTTAAACGTCTGGTATTGAAATTAAGGTACACAAGGAAAAATGCTTAGGAAGTCTCACATTGTAGGCAGATTATAGAAATTCATGGATTATGAAAATTTTGTTTAAAATGTAATCTCACAAAATATAGCACTAACAGCAATAAACAACATGAGGCATGATTTAATTACTATACAGTGAATATAATTATGTAGGTTTATGCACTCTTATAATTTATGAACTTTTATAAGCTGAACAGCCACTAGCACTGTAAACTGATTTTTTAAAGTAGACAACCGGTCAAATGCTTAAAATAGATAATAAAAACACAGACACAAAGAAAATTCTAAATGGATTATTTTTCACTTCTACATAGGCATTAAAGATTTTAGTTTACATACTATACTTATGGTTTACATACTATAATAAAGGTTGGAGGGAGAACCAAATAATGATTCCATTTAAAAAAATAAAATAGAGAACTTCGGAATGGTATATTTAAGAGGTCCCAATAAAATGGTTTTGGAAAAATTAAATAAAATTTTAAAAATAGAGAATGTTAGCCTAGAAAAAAGGCTGCGAAGCAAATAAAATTTTTAAAATATGCTAGATTACATAATTTGGAAAAATAGGAACATTAAATTTTAGAAAATGAGCTTGTAGGTATGACATCTTAATAAGGAAAATCATGATGTTTTCTCAGATACATTAAAATATGGGAATACTTAGGTGCAATTTTTGTTAATGGTGGCATAAGAATATAAGCATGAATAGCCCCAGGAATACCAAAAATAGACTTTGGGGCTAGGGCATGGCACCCCATCAGACTTAACCAGAAAACACTCCTACAGGTCAACAAACAGACCTGGAATTATTTATAGGCTTTTCTTTTTTTGTTACCGTTGCTGTTTTGTTTTGTTCTGTCTTGTTTTTCTGCTTATTATTGTCTCTGCATGTCTATCTAGATAAAATAAGTGGGATAAACAATCTGGAGGAGAAAACAATGGGATCGACGGTTCCAGGGGTTGGGTGGGGGGTACACAGGAGCGGGGGAGGGGAGGGGAACAAGTTGAGTATCAACCAACCAAGGCAAGAGGGAACAACAAGTGATCTAAAATAGATGGCGAGGAGGGCATAGGATGCCTGGTGGAGCTTGATCAAGGTCAATGTAGCCAAGAGGAATTGCTAAAACGAAATAGTGGGACAAGAGGAAAACAAAAGGAAATAGAGGAACGAACTAGGAGGCAAAGGATATTTATAAAGGCATGTACATATGTAAATATATACAATGATAGGGAAATAGATCTATGTACATATATTTAAATGTTAAGTATTAAGGTAGCAGACGGACACTGGGCCTCTCTCAAGTACTCCCTCAATGCAAGAACACTTTGTTCTAATATCCCGGCATTCTGGGATGCTCACCTTCCTGACAAGATCACTGAAGACAAAATGGGTGCATAAGCAAATGTGGTGAAGAAAGCTGATGGCGCCTGGCTACCAAAAGATAAGTGTCTGGAGTCTTAAAGGCTTGAAGATAAACAAGCGAGCATCTAGCTGAGAAGCAACAAAGCCCACATGGAAGAAGCACACCAGCCTGTGTGATCATGAGGTATCAATGGGATCAGGTATCAGACATCAAAGACCCAGAACAAAAAAATCTTATCATTGTGAATGAGGGGGAGTGCAAAGTGGAGACCCAAAGCCCATCAGTAGACAATTGGACATTCCCTCACAGAAAGGTCACAAGGAAGAGCGGAGCCAGTCAGGATGCAGTATAACACCAATGAAACATACAACTTTTCTCTAGTTCTTTAATGCTTCCTCCTCCTCACTAGCATGACCCCAATTCTTCCTTACAAATCTGGCTCCAGAGCATGTACACTGGTACAAATAAAAGCTGGAAACACAAGGAATCCAGGACAGATAAATCCCTCAGGACTAATAATGAGAGTAGTGATACCAGGAGGAGAAGGGTAAGGTGAGGGGAGAAAGGGGGAATCACAATGATCTATATATAACCCCCTCCCAGGGGAATGAACAACAGAAAAGTAGATGAAGGGAGACATTGGTAAGACATGATAAAAATATTATAAATTATCAAGGGTTCATGGGGGGGGGGAATGAGCTGATACCAAGGGTTCAAGCAGAAAGAAAATGTTTTTTAAAAAGGATGATGGCAACATATAAACAAATGTACTTGACACAATGGATGTATATATGGATTGTGATAAGAGCTGTATGAGCCCCCAATAAAATGATTTTTTTAAAAGAGTGAATAAAATGAAAGACACAGCAAGTGTTTTGAGACTGAAAAATGTCTCTTACTGAAGACATTCTGGCTTTGATGTTCCAGTCTAACATGTATTTTCTTTCTTTAATTCCTCTTGTCTTCCTTATTAACTCACAGAATAATAATGTTATGTCACATAAAATTTTAAAATAGCAGTGAAACACAATTTTAATGTTTAAGTAAAATTGTTTAAAAATGTGTAAAGTGTCTTCTCAGGATACCAAATAATCATTGTCAATTATCAGACTGATGGACACAAGTGAGCAAACTTTAAATTATATTTGCTAGAGACCCATGGAAAATTTTATTTTCTTTAGATACTAGATTTTATGGTGACTGGAAAGCTGGAATTGCTTAGAATTCTAACAGTGAAATAAAATGGTCTGGGAAATACAGAGTTTTCAAAACAGAAGTTGTCACTTCAGGAACTGTGTATTACTCGCCTTCATTCAGTAATAACAGCACCTCACGTCTGGTCTTCTGGCTATCTTGGATTTTTGTTGAGTCTCTATTGTGTTGTTTACAAGATAAAGTGAAACTACTTACTATGAAATATTAGCTCACAAGCTGACCATGGTGACGTCTCTATTCTTGTTTTTTCTTTTTTTCTCATTTTCTCTATATTCTCTCAACTACTTCTAACTTCCAGTCATACAGAACTGTAACTTCCCCAAACCAAGTTCTTTCCTGTCTCTTTTACCAAGAGTATTTTCAGCGTTCTACCTTTTGACCCCTACCTTTTCTTTAGATGGTCAATGTCTGCAGTCCTTAAAAACTCAGTTCAGGTACTACCTATTTTGAAAAATCTTTCAGGTTCTCTTCAGTATGAATTAGCAAGACTAGCCTAACCCTGTGTTTGTCTCTCCACCGTCACCTACACACAGACATATGCATACACAGAGAAACTTATACACAAACCACACTTAATAACAACTGTGAATATAGCTCAGGACGATAGGGTTGCCAGGCGCTGGAATGGCACTTAAAAATAAGACCCCAAAATGCTTAGTAATGAATTTCAAAACATTCTCCTGTAACACATATTAATAATATAAAGGTTAGTCAGAAAGTATTGTTACTTGGGTTTAGACATGTTACTAGTTTAGAAATGCCTGATTTATTCAAAACAAAACATTTTAAACATGGGTCTATAATCAGTTGATAGTCAAAGACAAATTGTCTCAGTAATACACTTGTCTTAGTCTTTTCTCCATATAGTGCCTTAAAAAAAAGTTCTTTTGTGCAATGGGAAAAAAAAGATTTTTTTCAAAAACAAAACTCAAGTGGACATCTTGACAAATCATTGAAGCTTCATATTTACAAGGTCAAAGTCCTAGAAATGTTAATGCTTTCCTATGGGAGCTTTGACATTAAGTATAAGTGTTCTCAGGAGGTAAAGGACATTTATAGAGGCCTAAATACAGGCATGTACATATATAAATTTATATATAATGAAAGGGGAATAGAACCATGTACTCATCTCTATGTTAAGAATTAAGGTTGCAGATGGACATTGGGCCTCAACTCAAGTACTCCCTTAACACAAGAACAC